AGGGAGGCGGGTGATGTTTTTAGGGGTGGAGACATAGTATATACGGTGACCCTTTTGAGCTAAGAATTGGGAAACTCGGAGAAACGGAACGATGTGACCATAAGCTAGCCATGGGAACACTGCTATATGAAGCTGGTTTTTGATGGAGAAATCCATGGCTAATTACTGCTGTGCTACACTATTGTTTCGCTCTTGTTTTCTTTATTCGGTAGAAACAAGGCCTGGAGTTTTAAAGATGAGCGAGTGGCTGGTGGCCGTTCAATTATTAGATAAAGATAAGCCGTCTCGTCAACAGAATTGGTGTTCAATCAATAAAGAAGTCTCCATGTGAAATTATTTATGTCTACTGTTTTTCTTTCTCAATCATTGTGATATCTAATGTTTTTAATTCTCAATCATTGTTTTTTAATTTATAAAAATTGCTAATTTTATTAAGAATAAAAAAATATTAAAATTATAATAAAGTTTTATAATCATAAACTAAATATATAATAAGAATATTTTCCTAAACACAATAAAATTATTCACTTAACTCACAATTACCATACAAGAAAAAGATTAAAAAAATCTAACCAAATAAATCAAACAATATATAAATACGAATAGATCTGAGTGCATTGGTAAACGAATTATAAAAGGAAATAAAGTTATTAAAATATCACTGATATACCGCAAATCAAAATCGAGCTATGTGAAAATACTATCCACAAACTGCATATCCAAATTCAATCCGAGAGTCCAAAGCAGGGAAGATCATCATAATAATAAATAAGTATCATCTTGATCAGTCGTGACGATGTCAAATCTAATCCAAAAAACCCAAAAACAACTGAAAAAATGTCATAGAGATGAAAAAATAGAGATACATAAAGACAGAAGAATACAGATACGCTAAAGATAGTAAAGGAAAAATAATGAATATCGGCGGTCGACAACCGTACCAAAACTGCTGCCGACCGCCAATCACAAAAATAAAGAAAAAAAAGAAAAAGAAAATAAGGTTGGCATAGAAAAAGAGAGAAAAAGAGAACAGACCCCAATTAATCTTAATTCTCAATCATTGTTATTTTAATGTTTTTAATTCTCAATTATTACTTATGTGTAGTCACATACATGCATGCATGCTGGTATAGTTCAAAGGTCTATGCATAGTCAAATGGTTGATATCTATGTATTTTTTTTTTAAAAAAATACATCTACATAATATTTAATTGATATCCATTCTCTTGATTGGTCTGCCATTTGAATATTCACCGCCATGTATCTGTTTTCCTCACCAGACTCGCTCATCCACCTATACTCTTTCTTACATACATACATAGAGAGAGGTGAGTGACCGAAAGAGAGCAAGCACATAAAGCTTCAAGCATGACATGAGCCCTTAAACTAGAAACAACGGATTTAAAAGTTAAAGAATGAAGTCTAAAATTTTAATAATTTCTTCTTCTTCTTCATTTATTAAATTAAATTTGACAATTCTTCCAAAACAATAGGTATGCAGTTGTTCCTACTGGAATCTGCATACATCCGCCCTTGCAACCATATGTGCTTACTCTCTTCTGTCACCTTCATGTCAAATTACCTGCTTCTTTAAGCAGTGTATAGAGTTTTCCTTCAGGACATGAGCTTTTGCTAAGATTATTTGGTTGCATCAAAACAATAAGATCTTACAGCAACGTTGGTATAGCTAATATTGAATCAGCAAAGTAATCTTTGGTGTTTTGAAAAAAATGATGGGAGGCTTTTACACAAGGTTAATCTAATCTCCATTTTTATAATGATTATTTCTATCATTCAAACGTTTAATTTTTTTTAAGTATTTAAATTCAAAACACATATTTAGATATCAATATAAAAGGTATAATCTTTTATGTATACATATGTTATATATTCTTTTATAAAGAACTTGTGTTTTAAATATGCTTTCAAAATGTAAATAATAATTGAGTTATTTCCATTCATCTTAGTTTTTATGATAGTGAACGGATAAACGCATAATTTTATATTAGGAAAAATAAATTTATAAAATTTTAAAAGATAATAATAAATTATTAATTTAAAATTAAAAAAGTTTAAATTTTATAATAATTTAATTTTTTTAAAACACTCCTATAACCCCCTCGATCCGTTCCTTGTAGCTAGGGTTACATGGGGAAAGCAATTACAATACTCATGATTTAATGCCACAGAGATGCTTTGTAGAATTGAAAGGAAATGGTAACAGAGCTTTGGGTAAACCAAGTACTTAAATTATTACTTTTGTTTCGTGTAAGTACTTAAATTTTATATATTTTTCTAAATCATATGTATCGTTTAGTTTAGATTTTAATTTAATATCTCATCGTTAAATAAAATAACATAACTATTAACATAATATTTTTTTAATTTTTTTCAATGATCAACATGAAATTATCTTTTGATAACACATTAATATCACCTTTAAAATTTTAAAGGTGGATACCAAATTAAAACCTAAATTAAATGCTATGTATGATTTTAAAAGAAAAAAAGTTTAGATACCAAAATGAAACAAGAGTGATAACTTAAATACTAAACATGTAGTTTACACTATAACTTTTCCGCCAAAAGATGAAGGCCGACAGCCATGGGTCCAAACCTGCAATGCGGGTCGAGTCATTTCATATGCAGCATGGATTTTTAAATTATAAATTTAAACAGTTGGTAAACGTTTAAATTTTAAATAATCATTGAGATTTTAGTTAAAAATTAAATTAAATTTTATTATAATTTTAATAGTTATATATTATTTGACAATTAGGTATATTTAAATAATAAATTATAAATTATAAATTTTTTAGTAATCCAGTTTATTTTTTTCCTACAGTTGTGTATTACCTTTTAAGATTATGAAAAAATTATTTTAGAGAGAAATCTTTATAAGTATTGTGATCTATATTATAAAATAAAATAAGAGTTTTACAATAATCAATTGGTCTATTGGGATGAGACACTAGATTTCTTATGTAATGTCAGGAGTTTGAACTCTGATGTTTGCGAATGGAGTAAACTGGGTTGATAAGGTTGTCATTGCCTCTACAGTATCCAATCTAAATTAGTCAGTCAATAAATCGAATAACAATGATTAATTAAAAATAAAAGTTTTAAAATATATCGAATTTTTAAGAGATAATATGATTTTATAAAATTGACAGCTTAAAATCAATTGGAATGAGTAAAATTTCTCACAATTGTTTCTAAAGATCAGTTCAATAAAACTTAGTGTAATAAATAGTTTTATTTAACTTTATCGAGAAAAATATTTGTTTTCTTGAAAAGAATAGTTATATATTTAATTTATCAACCGCTAAAAAATTCATTAAAAACATAAATAAATGGTTAAAAAAACATAAATAAAAAGGTAAGGAATATGGTTTTAGTAAATGCCTGAATGGGTGTCTTTTTAGAGCATAAGGATGTTGAAGAAGCAATAATGGTAAATAAACTAATTAAAAAGAAATCAAGGGATCAACCAATGTGAGCTTGACATGATATATATAAGGTAAAGTACATAAATGGTCCTCAATTATAGGATATTACTTTATTGAGTCCTTTAACTATTAAAAGTTATAAAATGATCATCTGACTGTTCATAAGTTCTAAAATTGTCATTTTTCGTTAAAAAAATTGGTGTCTATCTAAATTAGATGTTAACCTGACTTAGATATGATAAATTCATATTTTAATGATATCTATTGGTATTGTTGTTGCTTTCAAATACTGACTTCAAACACTAGCTTGACGACGTAGTGTAAACGAAAATTCGATCCATAAAATACAACTAAAATAATTATATGATCAGATTTTATCATATCTCAATCAATATATTAACGTCAATCTTAGACGACCACAATTTTTTAACTAAAAATGATGAGTTTGAAACATATGAATAGTCAAGTGATCATTTTGTAACTTTTAATAAGCGAACTTAACAAAATAACATTCTATAATTAATGGATCATTTGTGTATTTTGCCTATATTTATAACGCACAAAATCAACATAAAAGTAAATATGCTTTAATGATAACTAAACAAAATCATGGGTACTAACAACCACTAAATTCGCCTAATCATAGCAATTTGATATTCAAAAAGCAAGGATGTTGAGCGTGATATCAGGGTGTGCGTTTCCAAAGGCTGTCAATGAATGATCGGGAAGCAGTGAAAAAGTACAAGTAGGGATGGGCACGGGCAGGGCTTTGGTTGACTCAACTCCAACTCGAAAATATTTTATTAATACGTAGTATCGTCCCACCCTGATAATTTTTAGGTTTTCTCTCACCTGAACTTGTCCCGATTTTTAGACTATAATCTCAACCCGACCCGAATATATCAATATTTTAAATAATTAAAATAATATATTTATAATATTTTAAATTATTAAAATAATATATTTCATAATAATATATTATATTTTTAATAATTAAGTAATATATTTTAACATTATATAATAAATATATTTAAAATCTTAAGTATATTATATATTTCATACTGGGTCAGGTCGGTGATTTTTCACCTTAAACCCGGCTACCTAGTATATAACCCGCCCCGCCCCAAATTCTGAAATTTCTATAATAAAAAAACTGTCCCTATAAATTCGGGTTGGAACCCGTCGAGTTTGGGTATTTTGACCATCCCTAGTCACAAGAACATGGACCCTGATTGGTTGATGAAGGAAAATACAATACAAGTTAAATGCAATTCAAGTATATTTGGTCAATAGATATTTGCATAATATTATATACAAAGCTTACATTTCGAACAAAAATGTGCATTGTAATTAAACTAAAGAAGATATTCATGCATGAATATGAATAATATGCAATGCCTGTTTATTTTCATGGTGGATAAGCTCCTCATAATATTGCTTGAATAGCAACTGAAAAACACAACCAAAATGAGGGAAGAAGTACAAAAGGTACCATCTATATTGTGAAATATGTTCTTATCATAGTTGCTCCAGTTGGATCTGACATCAAGTGCTTCACAAGGGACATTCTCATATCGTTCGGTGCGATGAAGAACATATAAAACGCAAACAGGACGAGATCGGCAGAGGAAAGAGTAGAACCAAGAAATCCTTGCCACATCCTGCGATAAAACATATCCACTAGTAAGCATTATTTCTTTTATGCTGCTGAATGATTGGTCTGTTCATTCATGAAGTTATGTTTCTCAGTATCAAGTTTAAAAACTGAATATTTGGGTGGGATTGTGGAACGGGAACAGTTACTTCTCTTGGTTTTCTTATAAATAAGCACCAAAAAATGGTAAATATCACGTCATACCAACTCGGCAAACGGAAGAACGTTCGAATGCCTTCGATATCGAGTTGCAGTATGAGTGCTAGTCCAAAGAGAAAGAAGGACCTCTGACGTTTCCTTTCTAGTGGCCAAAGAGTATTCCAAGCTGAACCAAATTAGAGTAACACATCATAAGAAGGTGATACCATGCACTGAGTTCTAAATTTGTTAAAAAATTACATAAAGCACTACAGCACACAATGAATATGCGAAGTACCCTCAAGGACAATTCAGCAACTAGAAACATACAAGCCAAGAGACAAATGACAAATCATAAAGGCAACAACCACCGTGTGTTATTGGATTACTCTTGAAAAAAGACATTGAAATATCTGATGCACATATATAAACATATGCATACATGCATATGCATATGCCTTTGCATGAAAAATTAAATTCTGGTTGCTATTGTGGACTTACTTAAGATGAAAGAACTTCGTTAGCAACCCTTAAACAGTGATGTTGAGAGGAAAAGAGGATAAATCAAACAGCATACCTTGCATTGAGATATTCCCATTATTTCTTTCAATGGTAAGCAAGCCATTTGAATCTTCTTTATGATATTTGCAATTACAGAAGCATAATTTGGAGCCTCTGATAATGATCTGACAACCGAATAACCTGCTTAAGAAAGTTTAGATTGGCAATATCAAGTCAAATATTGAAGGAAATATCTATTGAACCCAATTCATACCGGTAGCAGGATGCACCATGCTTGCAGCAGCACCAAATGCAAGGTTCTTCTGCTTTGTGTTTGGTAAGGAACCACCAACTGGGATGTAAGACCACTCCTGCATAAGATTGCAACACTTTGGAACTATATTTTGTATCCAAGAAAATGGCATCTTGCTAAAGAAAATTGGCATTCAACGCATATTACTTCACGATGCAGTTGGAACATGGATATGTCAGGAATCAATGAGATAGACTACTAACTGAGAAGTGGAGAGATAGACAGGCATTAATTCCACGAGGCAGGATTACGAGCAGCGAGCTTTGCACTCCTCAACCAATGACCGGAATTATGAACGAAAACCAACTCAGTTGCAAATAATGTGCTACCAAGATAGAAAGTTGAACCCTGAATTTGATGTGGTGGTGTTTGTGATAAGCCGATTTTCTGGTTTTTGACTAACAAATTGGAAGGTGAAATATTGAATTTGAAGGTATCTTTTGACCATGAACCAAAAAAGAATTTAAACAAGTTCCCATTATGAACCCATTGAGTGGCCTCAGTGGTAAAAGGTAATGTTATGCTCCCTAGAGGACCCGGGTTTGAGCAGCTAAGACTACTTAATTTATAAAATGGCAAGGAGATGACGGACATGACATCCTATTTTGGTGCTGAGCAACAATATAAAGTAATACAGAGACCAATCTGGCATCTTAATTAGGCATGCAGTTTACCTCTTCATAAACTTTTAAAATCCGGATTCCCATGGTCTCTAACCTTGATGAGTTTCTTCTTTAATAGATCAAAAGGCATGGCATCTTTTGAAGCCAAACAGGTTTCCTGCAAATCAACTTTCTGAATCATTTTGCATGTAGTCATGGGATACAACATGAACAATAAACAAAATTGATTGCATGTCGCACAAACCTCAATGAAAACTCTAGTTGAAGACATGGGCATGGCATAAAGAAATGTTGGATATTGTGCTTCTAAAGCTGGAACTTCTTGTTTAGCATAGTCTCTATAATCCATGAAAACCATCAGGCTGGGATCATAAGGATTGTTCTCCACCTGATATAATAAGAAAAAAATTAGCCTGTTACAAAGTTCAGTACTTTTTTCCCACACCACCCTCTTAAACAGCTGATAAGATATATGATCGTCAACGATCAACGTTTGCATATTACCTCAACCTCGATGCCATAAGCCGTTTGAATGGAGACTCTCGGAACCCCTACCTCGTATTGCAACAATTTACCTGAAGCTGCTCCTGAAGCAACAGTAACAAACCTAGAATAACACATTAGGAGCTTGAAAGGAGTTGTGATACTAAAAGGTTAAAGTTTACAAATGGCAGTAGAGGAAATAGAAATTTTCCTACCTGCATGGAACAACACGATTGTGTTCACAAGCCACAAGATTATGACCATCGGTAGTGTTAGGTATGGCTCATAAATATACCAGTAAAGAGGACAGGAGCGGAGTGAGCGAAGCGAACATCAATTGTCCTTACAAAGAAAGTCTCGTTGTGGGGTTACAAATTATGTGGGTTGAGGGTGCGGGGGCGTAGCCCCCGCGGTACGGTACAGGGTTGATTTTGTAATTATGTACCAGGATTTTCTATTATAAATAGAGATGTAACCTAGACCTAAAATATCATTGAATAAAATTCTAGCGCCGCCTAGGCACCGAGGACGTAAGCACATTGCCGAACCTCGTAAAATTCTCGTGTTCTTTCGTTTTCTTTACCCGTTTTCGTCAACAATTGGTATCAGATGTCAGGAGCAAAATTCGAAGTCGCGAAATTCAATGGTCAGGGTAACTTCGGATTATGGCAAACGAGGGTGAAGGATCTATTGGCGCAGCAAGGGATCTTGAAGGCTTTGCGACCTACAAAGCCGGCGTCGATGGATGAGGAAGATTGGGAAGAATTGCAGCAGCGAGCGGCAGGAACCATACGATTATGCTTGGCGGACGAGGTCATGTATCACGTCATGCATCTATCGTCTCCAGACGAAATTTGGAGGAAGTTGGAAAGTCAGTTTATGTCCAAATCCTTAACGACAAAACTGTATCTGAAGCAGCGGCTGTATGGGCTGAAGATGCAGGACGATCACGATTTGGCGCAACACGTGAATGTCTTCAATCAAATCGTTTCTGATCTGGCTCGGCTTGATGTGAAAATTGAGGATGAAGACAGAGCGATGATTCTGTTGTGTTCGTTGCCTTCCTCTTACGAACACATGGTGACTACTCTTACATATGGGAAAGAGACTATCAACGTTGAGGAGATTACTGCAGCCTTTTGGCTCACAACCAGCGGAAGCAGAATGCAGGGGAAAGCTCTCAAGCCGATAGCTTATATGTCAAGGGTAATCGAGATCGTGGACGGAAGCCAGAGAAGGCAGGGTCCGGGAAGCGGAATTCCAGATCCAAATCCAGGGATAAGAAGACGATTCACTGTTACAAGTGCAAGGAGGCGGGACATATGAAGCGAGACTGTCCGAAGTTGAAAAAGCAGACTGATGAGAAGCGTGATGGCTCATCCAAGTCTGTGAACGTGGTCGAGGATGATACTTCTGATTGCAGTGAGGGTGATATGCTTTCTATTTCAACGACACAATTGACGGATGCTTGGATTCTTGATTCTGGATGTTCTTATCACATCACGCCAAATAGGGAATGGTTTTCGACATACAGGCCGGTTAATTCTGGTTCGGTTTATTTGGGTGATGATCGATGTTGCAATATTGTTGGTATTGGTGATGTCAGAATTAAGATGCACGATGGCTCCGTTCGGACGTTGAGTGGTGTTCGACATATCCCAGACTTGAAGAAGAATTTGATTTCCTTGGACACTTTGCACAAGAATGGTTTTATCCCTAAGGCTGACGAGGATAGGGAAACCATTCGGATTGTTAAAGGAGCATTGACTGTGATGAAAGGCAAGATGACTGCAGGGAATATCTACAGATTGTTAGGGAGTACCGTTGCAGGTGGAGTTCACTCTGTTGAGTCTTGTGATGATACGACAAAATTGTGGCATATGCGCCTTGCTCATCTTAGTGAACGTGGTATGGCATAATTACACAAGAGAAACTTGTTGCATGGTGTCAAAAGCTGTAAGCTCGATTTTTGCAAGTATTGTGTTCTTGGTAAACAGACTAAAGTCCGTTTCAAGACTGCGAAGCACACAACTCAAGGGATTCTTGATTATGTGCATTCTGATGTATGGGGGCCTTCCACGACATCGTCTTTGGGTGGATCTAGGTACTATGTTACTTTTATTGATGATTTTTCACGGAAAGTTTGGGTGTATTTTTTGAAACAGAAATATGAAGTTTTTGAGAAGTTCAAGCTGTGGAAAGCTGAGGTAGAAAACCAAACAGGACGAAAAATCAAGTATTTGCGGTCTGACAATGGTACGGAGTACACAGATTCACAGTTCCTACAATTCTGTAAGGAGCATGGGATTCAGAGGCATTTTACAGTGCGCAAGACACCACAACAGAATGGTGTTGCGGAACGAATGAACAGGTCGTTGAATGAAAGAGCCAGATGTTTGCGGTTGAATGCGGGGCTTCCCAAACACTTCTGAGCTGAGGCTGTTAACATGGCGTGTTACCTTATCAACAGATCGCCAAGGGCATCGCTGGCTGGGAAAGTTGCAGAAGAGGTATGAACTGGTCATGATGTTAGTTTTGATAACTTACGGATTTTTGGTTGTCCTGCTTATGTGCATGTACCCGCTGATGAGAGATCCAAACTTGATGCAAAATCGAAGGAGTGCATTTTTCTGGGTTACAAGAAAGGTGTCAAAGGATTCAAGTTCTGGGATCCAGTTGCGAAGAAAGTTGTGATTAGTAGAGATGTCGTTTTTGATGAACAATCTATGTTGCAGCAGAAGCAAGACACGACAGTGGTAGATTTCGAGCAGTTTCCAGTTGAGAAACCAGAAACTTCTCAACCGACTTCTGGTGGTTCCACTACGGATGATTTGCAGGATTATAGTCTCGCCAGAGACAGGGTGAGACGGACGAATATAAAGCCTCCGAACAGATTGGGTTTTGAAGACTTGGTATCTTTTGCACTTACTGTTAGCAGTGATGATCCAGTTACTTTTCATGATGCCGTTACTAGTCAGGAAAACGACAAGTGGATGGCAGCCATGGTTGAGGAGATGGAGTCTTTGAATCACAATCGCACATGGGAGTTAGTTCCCCTTCCTGAGGGTAAGAAGCCGATTGGTTGCAAATGGGTGTATAAGAAGAAACTAACAGTAACAGAAAAAGAGGGGGAGAAGTTCAAGGCTCGTTTGGTAGCGAAGGGTTTTTCACAGCAGAAAGGAGTTGATTATGATGAAATCTTTTCTCCTGTGGTCAGACACACTTCAATCCGAGCAGTACTTGCATTGGTGGCTAGTTGGGATTTGCATTTAGAGCAGATGGATGTTAAAACTGCTTTTTTGCATGGTGATTTAGAGGAGCAGATCTACATGCGGCAACCTGAAGGTTTCACTCAACCTGGAAACGAGCATTTAGTTTGCAGATTGAAGAAATCTTTGTACGGGTTAAAACAATCTCCGAGACAGTGATATAAACGGTTTGACTCCTATATGATCAAGATTGGCTACAACCGATGTGAGTATGATTGTTGTGTCTATATTAAGAGCCTTGATGATGGTTCTTTTATTTTTCTATTACTGTATGTTGATGATATGTTGATTGCTGCGAAGAACATGGATGATGTTATTGGTTTGAAAACTTTATTGAGTCAGGAATTTGATATGAAAGATTTAGGTGCTGCAAAGAAAATTCTTGGAATGGAAATTTGCAGGGACAGAGACTCAAGGAAACTGCGGCTATCTCAACGGGGTTATGTTGAGAAAATGCTAGAAAGGTTTGCGATGAGCAGCGCGAAACCAGTTAGCACTCCATTGGCGAATCACTTTAAGCTCTCATCAGAACAGTGCCCTAAGACAGATAAGGAAGCTGAAGATATGGCAAAGGTTCCGTATTCTAATGTTGTTGGCTGCTTGATGTATGCGATGGTATGTACTCGTCCTGATTTAGCTCATGCTGTTAGTCAAGTTTGTAAGTACATGTCTAAACCTGGTAAGCAACATTGGGATGCAGTCAAGTGGATCTTTCGGTACTTAAAGGGTACTGTGGGACATGGAATTGTTTTTGGGAGTCAGCGGGATAATCCTTTGGTTGTAGGATATGTGGATTCAGATTATGCATGTGACTTGGATAATAGAAGATCTACGACAGGGTATGTGTTTACTCTTGGTGGAGGGCCTATTTGCTGGAAGTCTACTGTTCAATCTGTCGTGGCACTATCTACAACTGAAGCTGAATACATGGCAGCGGCTGAAACTGCAAAAGAAGCTTTATGGCTTACTGGTTTAGTGAAGGAGTTGGGTGTTCAACAAGATGGAGTTCAGTTGCTTTGTGATAATCAAAGTGCTATTCACTTGGCTAAGAATCAGGTGTATCGTGCTAGAACTAAACATATTGATGTAAGGTTCCACAAGATCAGAGAGTTGGTTGCATCTGGAGAGGTTTTGTTTCAGAAGGTACATACTGATGAGAATGCCGCTGATATGTTAACCAAGCCAGTTACGACAGACAAGTTCAAGCATTGCTTGGACTTGTTGAATGTTTCTAGTTGTTAAAGAAGCAAGGTAACCCAACCCACATTGAAGTTTCCAAGGGGCAGGATATTCGCCAAGGTGGAGATTTGTTAGGTATGACTCATAAATATACCAGTAAAGAGGACAGGAGATGGAGCGGAGTGAGCGAAGCGAACATCAACTGTCCTTACAAAGAAAGTCTCGTTGTGGGGTTACAAATTATGTGGGTTGGGGGTGTGGGGGCGTAGCCCCGCGGTACGGTACAGGGTTGATTTTGTAATTATGTACCAGGGTTTTCTATTATAAATAGATATGTAACCTAGACCTAAAATATCATTGAATAAAATTCTAGCGCCGCCTAGGCACCGAGGACGTAAGCACATTGCCGAACCTCGTAAAATTCTCGTGTTCTTTCGTTTTCTTTACCCGTTTTCGTCAACAGGTAGCTTCAACAATTGTCTCTACTTTTGAGTTAAGATACATTACACCTGACTCAACACACCTATGGAAAATCAATACAAATTAAACATCGTTGGTAGGCAATATATAAGAAAAAATAACCTGGAGAAAAAGGATCATAAGTTACCTCCTCAACAACTCCTCATGAAGCAAGTGTCGACTAACACGTCCGTAAGCACGACCGATCATAATAGGGTTATCATCATCAAGGTAAACAATGGTATCCCGCCAAACATGCTCGGTACATCTTTCAAGTCCAAGATCTGAGAATGACATTAGATTAACTTACATGTTTATTTGATTGTGATGAACATCTTTCGTATTTTCCTTAGAAACTGAAACAATACCTTTAAACTCATCTTCCTAGACTAGGGCTATAAATGAGACGAGACAAATCGCGAGCTACTCGAGATCGACTCGATCGAGGCTCGATAAATACTCGGATCGAATGGGCTCGACTTGAGTTCGTAACGAGCCAAAACGAGCTACTCGATATTCGACTCGAAAAGCTCGTGAGCAGTTCGAAAAAATGTTATATTATAATTTTAGATTTTTTAAAATTACATTATAAAAAATTTATTAAAAATACATTATTGATAATTATAAAATTTTAAAAATATATTAAAAATTCTATAATACAACTACTCTCAAATTTTAATTTTATTAATTAACCCAAAACCCAAAACCAAAAACCCTAAGCACTAAACTCTAAGCCCTAAACCATAAACCCTTAATTCGATTATGTGATAGGGGTTAAGTAATGCACATGAAGGTAACATACAAATTATGCAAAATGAAATTAATGAAATTAACAAGGGTTTATATGTAAATAAACTAATAAATCACACTTAGTCAAATCAATCAATAGGTCCATTATCAAAATAAACGGTGATCAAAACATAAAATAAAAATAAATTAACAACTATAATCATAAAAACGTAAACCTTGATTAATGATGAAATCAGAAGATTACAAATATAACAGGTCCTAAAATACTAATACTCCATTTCTAAATCACAAGCTACCCCCTAGTCTTGAAGCGTTGTCGTTTTGGTACTGCTTAAAGCTACATCGTTTTGGTCGCTAGAATATATAGGAAGATTAGGGTGAAACGCTTAACCTAAATCATTTCCTCATCTCTCCTCAACGAGACACAACCCGCCGCTCTCTCATCTCCTTACCTTCTATCATTTTTCCTCGCTCAACCCTAACAGAGACCCACAGCCTCTGTGGCTTCAGCCGCCTAATGCTCCGATGTGGAGCTTAAACTTCACCTAAACAGATTCCGGTGACAACCTTCATAAAAAACATCCCCAAATCCTTAAACTTAAACCCAAAATACCCTCGTAAATACCCAGCTTCACCACCCCGTAGCCCTGCCAGACCACGGCAATCGCGGCCATCGCCGTCCCAACGAGCTTCGATAAAGAGCCCTAATGCCCCGGACCACTCTTTCCTCATTGGCCTAGGCAAGAAACCCAAACTTACTGAACCTCTCCTCTACCCATAAACCCCAACGACTAACCTAGAAAACCCCTCAAATCCCTAGAACCCGCAGTTTGAATCCCACATGCACGACTGGAAAACCGTAAAAGATAAAGGGTTTACCTTCCCCTAGATGAGATCGTGGTTTCTAGCGAAGGCGACGATAGGTTTTGGATTAGAAAAGTAAGTTTTCTGTTTTGCTCGAGGGTGGGTTCTTTGGTTGATGATGGATTATTCCTGTTGATTTTTCTTGTTTTTGACCTTGTTGCTTGGTTGTTCCTGATGGCTCGTAGTTTCTAGTTTTTCCTGGTTGGTCACTGTTTTTTTTGGTTTTGTGTCTTTCATTTCCTTTGATGTGTGTTTTCTGGTTTTTCTCTCGATGATAGCTGATGATCGATTCTTGTTTCTTGGTTGCTTTTCCCATCCACTTGCATCCCCGGAGAACAAAACCAATTATTTTATCTATGGATGTTCATGGAGGTGATGTTACATCTAGTGGTTTGTATGAGCTTTTGCAAGACATTTTTAGTGGAGAAATATTTGTACCACGTGTGAAGTCTGAACTTGATTCATATTTAGGTCTCAAGATTACAGTTCCGTTCTCCATTGTCTCAAACAGATGATAAACAGTAAACAGAACCGTAAAGACTCTCTGTAAAGTTATGCTTTTAATTTGACACGTTTTTGGTTTGCAGTTGTTTGAGAAGGTTGAAATTGATAAACCTGCCGCTAGTCGTTCAGCATCAGCTGAGATTTATGTTTTGGGGCTAAGGTATAAAGCCCCTGCAAAGATTGATCCATGTCTTCTTAACTTCAAGCATCTGTTTCAGGGATCAATAAAACCACAAAAGAAGGTTTTTGTTTCATTTTATGTTTCGAACTCTCTCCTTTACCCCATTGATTGTGTCTATTCTCATCTTTTTTCTTTCTGCACATGCTTGTTGTAGGTGATTGATGTACTTAGGGTAAGTAAACAAAAGAGACACTGTGATGGGTAAGTTTTCCCTTTATCATACAACAATGTAACTACTTTCTTCATATTCTGGTAAATATTTTCAAGTGTTTACTTTTTTTCTAACAACATGCCGACCACAGGTATGAAGATGGGGAGACAATCTCGAAGAAGGTGTCTATTGCTGCTGACTTCATTTGGTCTGATTCTCCTCTTGAAATCCTTGGTTCGGTTACTACCATAATCGTTGAGGATCCAGTTTCATTGCATATTAAGGATCACAATTCTACCTCATAAGAGGTGATTATCTTTTCAATATTTCTAGTCTTACCTGCCTTGAAACTTGTATTTACTTACTTTGGTAGTGTCTTGACAGGTCAAAGCTCTTTGTGATGATTTGCATGTTCTACGAAAGCAGGATTTCAAGTAAGAAACATAATTGTTTTCAGTTTTCCCCTTTTGAGATTTTTAAGTCTAAACAATTTGTGATAATAAGAAAATATGTGAGTAAAGCTATAATTAGAGCACTAGGTACATACTACTGTGAGTGAGAACTTAATTTGACATGTTGCAATCTTTTGTAAGTAAACTTGACATGTTGCTGTCATCTTTTGTAAGTAAGCTTAACTGGTTGATATCATTTTTTGTATTATTTTTTTAAGTAAACATGCAGCTATTATGATATTGTTATTTTTGTAAGGAAAATAGTGTAATCTTGTATAAATTTGGATATGTTGTCATATTTGTCATCTTTTTATAAATTTAGATGTGTTGTCATATTTTGTAAACTTTAAATACATTTGAAGTTTTAAAAACTTCAAAGCTTATATTAATTATCTTAAATTTCTTGTAATTGTATTTTTATTTTTTAGATTTTTTATAGTTCATACATTCATATTATAAAGTATTGGTGATGGTTGATTAAAGGGAAAATTATTTATATATTTTAAATGTAATATAAGATTTTTGTATGTTCAAAATCGAGCTCAAAATCGAGCTTCAATCGAGCTCTTGAAATTTTTTTTGAGTTCGAGCTGAGCTTCATAATTTTTAGCTTGCGAATTTTCGAGTCGAGTCGAGCCTACGTTTAAAGTTTTCGAGTTCGAGTCGAGCTCAGCAATACTCGAGCTCGACTCGGCTCGTTTACACCCTTATCCCAGACCCCATAATTGTTGGTGAAAGGAAGATCAGGGCCAATTAGTCCAACATTTAAACCCAACTTAGCCGACTCTGCAGCAAGAGCAAGAGCAGCTGGACCACAACCAATAACCACGAGGTCCAGCACGTTTTCTCCAATTGATATAGGCGGTAACTGTGCAAATATACATGTTAAGAGAAGGAAATTCCTATGAACATAGATAGACTGTTACGGGATACGAATTTAAAAATTTATATTTGAAATTAAGAGATGTAAAATTAGTTCTTCAATAGAAAATATCGAAAAGTAAAAAAAAAATAAACTATATGAAACTTTAAAATTTTCAAGAATGCGACCAAAGTCAACACCCTCTCGTCCACTCCATCCTACGAAGCAGTAAACCCACTAGTAAAATGTAAACTTTCTTTTCCAGACATTTTGTTATCCAGCTTCTCCAAGTCACTACTATAGTGCTATTGACCAGATGCACCTGACCCTCGCATGTTATAATCTTGATAAGTGTCTCATATTTCTTGTTTACTATTGTGGCTCAAAAGGCACAAGTTTATCCACCAGTAGGGGAGGGGGTCTCCATTTTAACAAGCAGAAATAATTTTTTTTAAAAATCAAAGTAAAAAGTAATTCTAGTTTCCAACAAATGAAAATCGAAGGGAGCGAAGTGAAAAAACCTTATCCGCTAATTTGGATTGTTTATCCATTTCCTTATTCTGTTGCATTTGAACGAAGAGAAGCTCACAGCCACCGGCTTTTATGAAATCTTCTTCGTCGGCGAAGTCTTCCTTGACCGCAACGCAACTCTCTCTGCTCGCCCCACTAGCTCTCACCTTTAAGGAAATAAACCGATGATGACTCGGAATCGCTGTTTTAGTCCTCAACAGGCTTCTCCTCCACAAGGCACACGTAGGAACCGCCATTGCGGCTAAGTTCCGAGTTCCAACACACTCCATTATCATCACCTTCGGAACTAACAAAAACATGGAATCAAAAGCATGAATATTTTTCTTTAAGTGCAACCAAGTGTAGAATTTGATACTAAAATCGGCTTCTTGCGTCATTTAATTGCTCAGATGTTCTACTGTCATCACTTGCTTTCCACGTGGGCGATAGAAATTGGTCAAATCTCTGGAAAAGCCAAACCCCTATCCAGCTATGATTATAAACTCCGTCGTTTTAATTTAAGCTCGAATTTTCCCTTCTTTCTTCATATTTTTGGAAATAATTAGTCCATAATTATTTCATTTTTTTTATACAAATTTGAAAACCTTCGACATGAGATTAAAAGAAAAAAACATAAGTTCACATGAAAATGATTGATTTATTAAATATATATTCATATAATATTATCTTATATACTGTTTATGAAAAAAATATTTTATAAATATTATTAAACTTATGTTACATATTTTTATTTTATATATATTTAAAATAAACATGACAATTCTATAATTTTGTTTGTATAATTATTTTTTTCAACACTGATATATAAAACAACTATATTATATTGTAAAAAAATAATTATAATTATATAAATGTATAACGCATTAAACACGATTGAAAATCTCCTTTCATTATTTGCATATAAGATTAAAAATCATTAAGTATAAATTATACAATTAAGGAAACAAAGTCTATAAAATATAACTCAATATAATATAGATTATTTTTAAACCAAATTTTATTTGAAACATATAAAATAATTTTAATCAAATTTTATATAAAACATATAATTCCCAAAATATAATGATAATACATAATTTAACACTAAATCACATTTAAATGTTGAATATGAGTATTTATAAATGTAAATAATTTAGATAAATTCAAACTCAACACAAATTTAAAATTTAGTAACTCAAAATTAAAAAAAAAAATCGGAATCAAATTTTACTCCCCTCTTACATCTAAATGTATATCAAATACAAGCTTGATATGAAGTTTGAACATGGTAAAAATTGAGTAATCCATAAACTACTGAAACAACAGCGCTGCAGCAGCTTTGTTTAATCGTTAAAGAAAATAATAAACTGAGCAACAAGGGAAGAAGTAAAAAAAAAACGAAAAATTGCCAGACCATTTCAGAAACCAAGTAAACCACAATCAAAAGCTCAACATTATTGATATCAATTGAACAACGTGCATTGTATTTGCTTAGGAAATTAAAGCTCACAAGGACAACAAAGGCTGCTCTTGCATCCCCGGCTGCGGATGGCAGAGGAACAATTAATATGATGCAATCCAGACCTAATTTGGAAACAAAAATGCAAGAACAATGCTGAAGGATGTCAAACTATAGGAGTACAAGACCAAGTTCTGATGGTCTCAAAGCATTTTGTATCCGATAATTATAGAGGTAGTAGTGAAGTTGCCCATCACCAGGTCCGAATTTCAGCTCTTTGAGGAAAGGTTCATTATGCATGACATCAAGTGCATTGAAAACATCAAAATCCTTCTGCTTAGCAACAATAAGAGCATCATTCATCAGCTGAAGCAATGGAGTCTTAGTGGAGACGTTGTAGTAAGAATAGGCAGCTTTCAAAATGGAATAGTTCTGGTTGCCAAGAATTGATGAGGGAAGCGTGTAGAAGCTGCAGAAGTCAGTAACGTCATGCGTCACTGGGCTCTCAACCAAGTAACTATCCACAACCCCCTCTGTAGGAAGCAGCCAATGCTCCACATCGTTCTCATCAAAATCTGGAGAAACAACAAACTGGCTCAAGTAGTTTCTAAGCAACCTGGTAACGGCAGGGACATCACGAAGCTCCATCTTTCTGAACCCAGAGGTTCCTGGAGAATCAGGTAACTTGTAGAGTTTAATGGTTCGGCTCATTGTCATCCTAGGCCCAAGCCTAGAAAAGCCAACATCAATAAGCTTCTTGGGGTTCAACGACCGATGCCAATACTGGCAAGTAGTAATTGGTGTTGGAAGAACAACTCCGGCTGTGTATGTTGCCTGCCAAATATTCTCCAAATGAACTCTCCTAGTAACCTCCTTAATCATCACGGGTGCAAGTCTTTTTGATCTCAGCTTCTTATGAACACACAAGAAATTGATCTCGGCCATCTTCACAACTTCATTCCGCACCCTTATTCTCGCGGGGATACCAGTAATGAAAGCAACAAGTTTCTTTGAAGCCTTAGCACGAACGCCAATGTGCCAGCTCTTATAGTAACCAGGAGGACGCAAAGCCCAGCCAAGAAACTCCTTGGAGTAATTGAATCTAAACATATTCTCATCATCCTCGACATAATTATTCTTCAAAAGATTATAAACCTCAGTGCAAGTCTCTTCTGAATTCATATCACAGGTGGTCCATTCATATGGACTTGGAAGGTTATAAGGTTCCTGTTTCACTTCAGATAATGGGGTGGGGGCCTCGATAGGTCCCTCGGGTAAACTTGTGTCCCCAAAATCCTTAAATTGACCAACAGGTTGAGTTTCCCAGAACTTGTGTCTCTTGGGTAAGGACATGGAATCCTGAATCTTTCGAACAATTGTTTCCAGTGAGCTGTCATCTTTGGGCAATGGGTTAGTCTCCAAATTCTGATCTGGGTTTTGTTTGGGTGACCCAGGAGGTGAATTCTTTTCACTCATTTCAGGCAATCAAATAATTTCGGCTACGTTAACACAACCAGAAGATATTTCAGTACCTGAATCAATTGAAAAAATCTACATATGTATGTCCAAATTATATACTAAAAAAAGAAGAGAAAGGAAGCACAGAAATAGCAGAACAAAACCTAAAACTACAGAATTTGTTACACTTCAAATAGCTTCCAGCTACCAAATAAATCTATTGAAACGATATCAAACAAAAAATTGCAAGATTATATAATGGAATAACAGATCTGCAGAGTTCGTTAAAAAGTGAATGAGAAAAACGTAACTTACTCGGTTTCGAAGGAAAGAAGTTTAGCAGATTATGAATCTGGGAAATGTTGGGGCAGTTATCGGGGAGGAAAAATGTAGACTCGGATGAATCAGATCTTCAAAGCCGAATCAGTAGAAGGATTATATTTTGTTTGATTTAATTCAAGCAAAGGGATAATATTTAGGGTTTTCTATGACTTCTCTTCAAGACAGCGCCATTGGAGACCGAGATACCCAAAAAAAACTCGCTTTCGTTGGTGAATACGGCAAAGGTGAGTGTGGAAAATAGAAAATTGTAATTCCTTTTTTTGTTTAATATTAAGCTTAAATATAAAATAAGTGATCAAATTATATTATTTTTTAGTAATGTGTTTATAATATTTTTTTGAATTATTTAAATGTTTATTGTTACAAATGTTTTGATTTTAGGTGTTCGGATCTTATTAGTTTTTTCTGTTAAGTGACACGTTATATTATGATAATTTTAAATTTTTTAAATTAAAAATATTATTATATTTATAAAAAAATTCTAAACTCTTTTAAATCACAAAAAAAATACTCAAAGTTCATAAAAATTCTAACTCTAACCTACTGCCGCCGCCCTTTCTGATTACGACCGTTTTTGTCGACTTAATCTCTGTCATCCTCCTAGTTATAGGTTGTCATAGTTGTTGATCGACTGTTGAAATCGTGTGAGATCGTAATTTTTATCATAGGGTTCGTGAGGTACAAAACGTCAATTAGCCGCTAATTAACCGTTGAACGGTCTTGATTTCATAGGGGTATTGATCATTGGGGGTAGGTGAGGTCGGGTGGAGCTTCAACGTTTGTAAAGCATGACATCCGTCGTGAGTTTAAGGCTGGAAATAAAAGTTTTCAAAGATTTGCGGTTATTTTAAAATTTGTGTGTTTTTAATATAAATTTTTATTTTTTAAATTTTAAATAAAAAAATTAAATTACCAAAACGTGATATGTGTCACTTAAAAGAGAAAATTAACGGTGTTTATAACCCAGGTACCTAAAGTGATAACGTTTATAATATTAAACACTGAGATCATTCAAAAAATATTATAAGCACATATTCTTAAAAAACGATATAATTTAGATACTCATTTTATATTTAAGCTTTAATATTAACCAAGCTAGGCCCGTAATTTTATTTGTAAACTGTAGACTGTAGTAATAAGGTAACATGTTAATTTGAACTTTGTATGTCACATATTAATATGTATTAATCAAACTCGTTTTTCTTAGAATTTAAAATTACTTCATTTAACTAAACTAAAATAAAACAAAATATTTTGTATATATAAAAGAATTATATGTTATATAATTTTTTTCATCGGCTTCTTGATAGGAATGATTACTCATGAACAAGACATTAAAATATTAGAACTTAAATTCAAATTCCATTCTATATAAAATATAAGGTAAACTACAAGTTAAATACCTAAAATTATTACATCTATCCCGTTTTAATATTTAATTTTTTTTTTCAAAATCATACTTAACGTTTACTTTTTGTTTTATTTTCAACTACAAGTTTAATATCTAAACTATTACATTTACCCCGTTTTGGTATTTAATTTTTTATTTTTTCTTAAAATCATACTTGACGTTTACTTTTTATTTCGTTTTGGTACATCTTCGTTAAAACGTGAAATTTTTATGGGTAAATTATATCATTCATTACTTAACTATCTTTTCACTTCTATTTTGGTCACAGAAGTTTAATTTTTTTAATTTAATTACCTAACTTTTAAATTACTCCTAATTTAATCACTATAACTTTCAAATTTATTTTTTATTTTAATTATATATTAAAAATAATAATAATAAATTTTAATATCACAAAAATTACTAATAAAATAAATTAGAGTGATTAAACAAGAACAATTTGAAAATTGGGTAGTTAAATTAAAAAATTTAAACTTTAGTGATCAAAATAAGAGTGAGAATATAGTTAAGTGATAAACGATATAATTAACTCATAAAAAATGTCACGTAAGAATTTTTAACGACGGAATACCAAAATGAAACATAAACTAAACGTTATACATGATTTTAAAAATAATAATTGAAGTATTAAACGTATAATTTACATTATTACATCATAATTAGTTTATACATAAAATTTTAAATTTTAAAACTAAATGAGAGCTACTAAACTATCTTAGTTAAATAATACATTGTCAAGTTCACGAGTAGAATTGATGTACAAACTACAAAGACAAAGTACAACACGTGACAAGTCACGGGGTGTAATTTTAATGAGACAGAATAATACCTGAAATTTCAAAACCAGTGACACAGCTGCTCTCCACCGAACAACCGTCTCTAGCACCGTCATGGAATGACCGTCAACCGATTTTATCCCTTATAACTAACCCCAAAAAATAACAAAAACTAATGTCAACTATATATTACTTTTGAAATTTTACTTGAAAATTTGGGAGAAAAACAGATGAATGAGGGGGGCAGACGTGGGACTGAAGCAACCCTCGGGGAGCAGAGCTTGAACAAGCAAGAGAGGCCAGGCGAACCTATAGTGGTGTAGAACAATCTGCATCTGGCATCGCGTGAAAGTGAATAAGGTCATGCGGGGGATTGTACATGAGCCTGTTCACTCGAAGGAGTGAGAGATTTGGTGCTCCGCGGTGTCTTTTCCAAGACAAAAGAACTTGCTGGAGATAGGAGATCAAAGCAGAATGTTGTTCTTCACGTAAGTGTTCATGGCCATAATTGTTCAAACATAGAATTTGAATGTAATTTACCCTTTTAAATTGATAGGGCAATTCGGTTCGGTGAAGTTACTGAAATGGTCATCTATGCACGGGGCAGTTAATTTATTCACTTAGTTCGGGTCCTGCTAAGGCTTATATGTTTTTTAGTCAATTAGAGCAATGGTGTAACAATCATTGTTCCCATTTTCAAATGAGATTAAACAGAGACAACAATAACATGCAAACATTCAACCATTTTCATCAGATCGAAGACCACAAGGATCCAAGACAACAAAAACATGCAAACATTCAACCATATTCCCATGCACTACCTGAAATGTACGAGATCTGTACTCTCAAAGCTCATCAATGATACTTCTTCTCGTTCAAACTGGTAGTCCGAAAATGCAAAGGTCTTGAGAACCTGCACACCACTTGCTTAAGGCCGACAAACAAATCAAACTAAATGATCCCCCAGTGCAAAGAATGTTCACAAATAAGAGATCCCCCAGTGCACATCTGCAACTCTCATTGTTTTCCTTCAGAATGGACAGGTTAGTTTACTCGATATCAGCTAAACGATCACTGTAGATATTTTACCCAACCTCTGATTAATAAAATTTTTGAGATTCTTAAGACTGCTTTGCACCGTAATTAGCCTCGTTAAAAGTGTACCTGGAAACATTATCGCCAGCCTGATTTTAGAAATGGAGTCAGAAGATTGCACCCATAAATTTCTAGAAAAAAGAAAGAAAGCATTTCACCTCCATAAATTGGCAAAGTCAGCGCTGATGATAACCTGCCAATGCCATGGATTATTCGCACAACAGTTCCTGTTAAGTGACGGCAGAAACTAATGAAACTTGGTATTTGTTTCACCTCCTTGCTGGTGCTGCATGTAACTGAAATGAATGTCCATGATGGGTAATCAATTGAGAAATATCCATCACCCACCATAACCCCTAAAGTCAACCCATTTTCAAATGCTTCTGCCTTATTAACCATTGTAAAATGCGTAATTACTGTTGCTTTATTTTGTTGCTACTACTAGACAAAATGTCCAAAAGCATTGAAGTTTTTGCTGTGCCAGTTTTTGATCCTTCACCAGTTTTGTTATCCCCAGTTTCACTATGAACTGATGCTCGAATCGCAGAATGATTTTTCTTCATTCCAGACTCGAACATTTTCGCAAATGCTAAAGTAGACATCAGTGCTTTCTGAGACGAATTTGGTGTGGCTTTAGGTGTTATATTCTCTGGAGATTGACCTGCAGTGAGCAGCGAAGCTGGCATCTTCCATGGGTTTGCAGTGGAGTTGTATTGTTTGTCAGACAACGGTCGACTTTCATGAACAGATTTACCCTCGACAATATCAATCTTTTTCACCATTGCCAGAGTAGAAACAAGTGCTTCCCGAGCTGAATTTGGTGTGCTTTTAAGCGCTAAACACTCTGAGGATTGGCCTGAAGTTTGTGAAGAAACTGGCAACTTATATGACATTGCACTTGAGTTATTCTGCTTATCATCAACATAATTAATCATCGCAAGAGATCCATTGTTAATATTATCCGAACAGCAAGGCAAGCTAGCAGGTGTATAATTTCCAGAGTAAACGGGTCTTCCCACGGTGAGATTTATTCCCAGTGGCAGTTCTGCTGGATGAGTTTTCTTTTGATCTGTACTTGATTTACTTTGGGTAGTCTGGTTGCTGAATTTACCACTATGACCTTCATTATCACTCGGTAGTTGCTTATACCCATATGCCCTATTTAACAGTAGACTAACATTGCTAGTGGAATCTTCTAATGAAGATTTTCCAAATGATAGAAAATTTATACCCCTTGGTACCACTTCTGGCTTCTTCTTTGGACTAGCAGCATCCACATTCTGAATTGTGTGGGATTCACTTCGGTTGGCTTGAATCCCAAGTCTGCCACTTTCACTTATCTTCATAAATGAGCTACCTAGGCTAAACTTACTTGATTCTGCAGCAGATGGCCTTGATGCAAAAGGACAGTTGACACCTAACATCCTTTGGTTACTTTGATACCCAACTCCGCCACTTTCATTCATCTTTTGAGAAGAGCTGCCTTGGTTAACTTTAATTGATTCACCTTTGCATGCAATATCAGGTGTTCTACTGGGAGTATCTGCCACAAATTTTCTTTTGCTTTTGTCAGGAAAAGATCTTACAGAATAGGATGAAGCATCAGCATCCTTATGTGAAGCTCTGCTGACACTCAGTCTCATATCTGAATCACTCTGTGATGATGGCTTCAGATGAAGTTCAGGAGCTGTTGAAAAAGATGCAACATCTCCCTCCACTGGCATCTGAATTGAAAATAAGATATTATTACCGCTCTCAGTCAACTAATTGGAAATACTGAACTTTTCTTTTTGCGTAATAGAAACAAGGTTACCTTGTGTGAAAACAAGCAATCATCACCCCTGCTGCAGGAACCTTTAGTCATATAATTGATACAGGGATACTTGAAGAGAAGGTGATCAAATGGGCAGTCATCTCCTTTCATGCATGAGTTACGTGCAAAATGACTGCAAGGCTACAAAAATGAAATAAAAAAATGTAGTGAAACAAGAACACTCACAGATTCTTTACTAGAAAGATACAAAATGAATAGAACTACAAACATTCCAATAGAATGCAGCTACTTGCATAATCTACACAAGGTACCAAGCCAAAAAAGTAATCATTATACCTGAGATTTTGTCAAAGGCACTGTGTCATGTGAGAATTTGCACTTCTCGCCCTGTATGGGAAAAAATATATTTAGATCATTTAATACCAAATCAACACAGAATTCATGTTTGATAAACTTTATTTAGTAAACCAAGTCGAACAAGAAAATAAATTCAACTTCCAGTCCCTTTCTTCTACTATGCACCTTGGAGTGAATAAAATCCAAGTTCAAATGTTTATGAATATTATAAAGGGAATATTGAAGCAGGAATAGTTAAAACTCTGTAAAAAAGAACAAAGCAGCCGATTAATTAAATTTTTTTGTGAAGCTCTACCGGCTATTTTAAAGACAGTAAAATATCAAAAACGAAGAGAAGAAAAAGTATAACCTCATGACATCTTCCCTTCAGATAATGACGGCAATAAGATACAGGCTTTGGTTTCAGAACTGTCTGCAGCTTCAACCTTTTAACACCAAGCTGCCGGTTTTTCTCTGCTCGCTTCTTTCGTTTATTTCTCTGCAGAATAGAACCATAACAAGTGAATAATTTTTGCCTTTGAAGAGCATGGAAGGAATGTAGCTAATACAAATGTCGAAACATTTTTATGTAAAAACATGTAAGCTAAATTGTAGAGACTAAAACGAGCAGGTTTCATGTTCCAAGAAATTAACTTGCACCACAAGGTGTAAAGTTAGCCCATAAGAGTCTATTTAAACGTTAAAAGGGAAAAAATAGACATACTGAACTACCTTTTTCTTTTCGTTCTTCTCTGCAGGAGTCAGACACTGCTTTTTCTTCTTGTTGAGGCCAACATCTATCTGCATAAGATAGGAGGAATCATACTTGTCACATGTCAGAATTATCAGACCAATTTCATCATAACAATATAACTCTAAATAGCCTAGTTCATAGGTTTCCAGACAGATTTCTGGAAGACACTTGAGTTCATTTTATGTCTTTTGGTGTATGAATATGTAGTTGCTCAGATGTGCTTTCGTGAGGACGTGCGTGAAAGGAAGAGAGAGAGAGAGGCGAACACAGTTTACCGTTTTACTCTTGATAAATTATCTATCAGTTGGACCTGTTCTAGATCTTTAAAATATGGCATCAGATCTCAAGAAGCCTCAGAAGCCAGAAGACAAACAAAAGAAGTCCAGTCAATGGCAAAAACGGTGAGAAAGCAATGCCAAGGTGGGAATCAACGAAAAGCACCTCCTTATTTTGTAGCAAAAGATAGCTATAAAATCCTCACCTAATAACCACCATGTCAAATTCTTCTCTTTTAGGGTATCAAGAGGGCTAGGAAGCCCAATTAAACTCTACAACAGTCCAACCCAACTGTATGTCCAATGCTTAATCCCGGTGATAGGAGCCATACTTGAGTTATTTAAATTCAGAAATGGTAAAATGTAGAAGATTTTTTAAAGTCGTTTCAAAGAAACAAAATAGCATCAACTTAATATCATAGAGAAACCTCATATCAAAAGGCAAGCTCATAAAGAGGATAGCAATGACAGATGTTTCCATACCTAACTAATGAAATTCATATTTGCAAATGGTCCCTAAACGAAAAGGCAAAAAAAAAAAAAAGGTTAGAGCAATACCTTCGTTTTAGATTTACTAACTTGATTTTTGCTTCCAACTTGCTTTTGAATCTTTCCACTACCTTCCTTTGTTTGCATCATTCCAAGTTCATTCACCAAACGATTTGTCTCACTTCCTTCAAGCTCTCTAGGTGTAACTTTATTTGCAACTGGAGAAATATTTCTGTTAAACGAAGTAAACTCATAAGTTCTATCAGTAGATGTGTTTTCTTCATTGCAATGAAGATGTTTATCCTCAAAGATGCCTTTGGAAACTTGTTTCTCCTCTACAATTTTTTCTGATACCACAGCATCATCTAAGAGCATATCAAATGACTCATTGAGAAGCTGAATGTCACCAAAAATTTCTCCCTCTTCAAGCTCTCCATCTTCAACCATCTGACCAGGAGAACATACTCCCTCATTAGAGCAAACAAAGTTCTCCAAGTCCATCTCCTTTTGCTGAATTTCAATTTTCTCATGCATTAAGTTAGTCTCCAACAAGCAACTTTGGTCGTTGACCTTTTCATTTGAATTTAATACTTCAGCTGTTGAACCCTTATCCAAAGAAAACCCAAAGGCATCAATAATCTTTTGATTACCATCCTTCATGTCTACTTGTGGCTTAGCAACCGCTCCAGTTTCCTCCATAACAAAAGGTGGACAATCATTAGATTTTTCTTGACTATTCAACAATATACCTGTGCAACTATCACCCTGATTCCTGCCCAATGCTGCAGTCAAGCAGTTACTAATCTTATCACAATCTTCATTGCTTTTCATAATATTTTCCAAATCAGCCATAAGCATTAGTTCACGACCGATCTCTCCATCACGAACACCGTTGCCTTCCATGCTACTATCAACCATCATACCATTTTGACTCAATAAATCCTGACCTTCTTCCATTCCCATTATCTGCTCAATTTCATCTATTACCATTTGTGTGTCTTTAAATTCCTTGTCCTGGAAAACAGCTTCTTCAGAACCTCCATTAACCACATTTCCTTCCTGAGCCGCCATATTTGCGGGCTCCTTACTATGTGAGACAATCAATTCGCCAGGCTCTCTGACATCATCTCCACATGGTTCATGTCGGTTACAGCCATTATCTTCAACAAGAACAAATAATATAAAAAATAAGAATTACTGAACCTAAATATCTAAGAATTTTAATGTATTTACTGATGCAAACAGGATTTGGCTTGTCTAGAATACGAATAGATTGAAGACCAATTCCCAAAAATCAAATGAAAAAAAATAAAAATTTCTCTCACAATGTCGTAACAAAAAACAAAACCATTCAACTCAGCCTCTTTTAAAATTAAAAAAAATAAGTAAAAGAAAATCTGAAGAATTCAAATAGATACATTACCAGGTGTTTGTGGAAGGGGGATAATGGGAGGGGCAGTGGCTAGTGGAGAATCGCCGTAGCAAATTGATATAAGTCGAACAAGATTACGGTAAGTTCCACTCCTGAGATGCGATCGGCGATGAGGAGGAAACGAAAAAGGAGCTCCTACGCCTGGTTCTTGCGGCTCCTCCATTTTCCCCGCCAAGAACCAACTTCTAATTCCGAACAGCCGACTTAAGAACTACTGAAGGTTTTCTGGTCTTTTTGTTTCTTTTAAATTTTAAGCATTTTCTTTTCCTTGGTTAAGCCGGACCGCCTTTCGAAGGCTTTCTTCCAGGTTCGCACAAGCGATGCCGTTTAGGAGCGGTTAGATTTGAAAGGGTTTACTTATCAAGAAAAACTATGAATAAATTATAAAATTCACCTGTCAACTTTCTTTCATACCTATTTTAGTTATTAAAGTTTTAAAAAAGTTCAACTTACTCATTAAATTTTTAATTTGTTCTTATTATAATCGTTCGGATATAAAATCACGAATGAAATGATGAAATAGTAGCTATGTATACTTGATATTAGATTTTTTTTTTGACATGAAATCAGTGTCATTCACAATATTTTATCTCCCTCTTTTTCTTAAAAAAAATATATCTTATTTCAAAAGAAAATTACAATTTTATTCCTATGTTTGTCTACGTTAGAAGTGTTTATCGAGCGAGTCGATCGTGAGTTGGATATTGCTTAACTCATGCTCGCTAAAATTTTATGTTGTTCGACTCAACTCTTTTCTCGTTAAACTCGTTAAATTTTTCCTCAATTCGTGCATGTGTAGAAAATTTGTTGCTCGTTACTCATTAAACTCACCGAAATTTCCACTTTTTTCAAAACTATAGAAAAAATATACTAATACTATATGGAGTTTAATATAAAAAAATTAATAAATTTAATCAAAAAGTTATTAAAAAGAGTGTATGAAACAATTTCAAAGTCTAAACTCAAAAGCAACAAACCGTAAATATATTAAAATAATAATTAGGGTTTGATTTTTGAGTGTAGTAAAATATTAATTAATAATATAGTATTTTTTGTTGTTTATTAGAAAATTAATAAATTAGCAATTTATCATTCTATTTATTTATTAGTAAAATAGTAATTTTTTTGAATGATTTTTTTAAGATAACTAATAAAAATTATATAAAAAATTAATAAACTGCACGCGAATTTATCGAGCCGAGCTGGACTTTGCTCAATTCAACTCGTTAAGGTCTCGAGTCAAGCTTGAGCTTGAGTCGAGTCTTTATCGAGTTTTAACCGAGTGAAATTCGAACTACTCACGAGTTACTCAACTTAATAAACACCCATAGTCAATGTTATAATTACTATTTTTAAAACAAAATTGTAATTAATGTTCTTAAATGTCTTCTTCAATCACTAAAAGTTATTTATAAAATCATTTAATTATCTTAATCTCTTATCACCCTATCAGATTAGATTTTATTTAAAACCACTTTAAAAAATAATAATTCTCAACCATAAACTTAAATCCCATGAAGTATCTAAGTATTTTAATCTATAATATCTATCATTATATAATCGTAAAATCAAGATATATAGTTTTTTTCTTTTTTCACGTCTAACCATTAAAATTTTAAAAAAATATTTCACCAACGAGAAATCAACAAAATCAAAATAATTTTTTTATAAAAATTAAATAAATAATTTTAAAATCACTTTGTAATTTTTAAAAGAAAATTTTCCATTCAAAATGTCGTTAAGTATTTGATGATAGTGTGATTAAGATATAAGCAAATCAAAAGTTTAGTAAGGTAATTGAAATTTTTTAAATTTTAATGACCAAAGTAAAAATTGAGAAGAAAGTTAGTTGATAAAAATTTATAATTTACCCAAACAATATTAAACAAAGAATTCGGTGGGATGAGAACGAAACCCAAAACCCTAGCAAAGCAACCGGTGATCGAACATATCGGAAAGAAGCTAAGGTGGTTGCGGGAAAGATACAAAATGGTTGTGAGGATTCGATTGTCGAGGTTCGGATGCAAAAATATCCATTTTATAGGGTGATGGCTGCCAATGGCAGATCCCCAACAGATGGGAAGCATCTCGAGGTCCTTGGTTATTACAATCCTTTGCCAGGTCTTCTTCCTCTTTACATTTCCCCCCTCTGCAATGGAAGGGCAACTGATTGAATTAGCGAAATTTCCATTTGCCAATACATTCTTATTGCATCCTTTTCTTTTGTACAGGCCAAGACGGAGGTAAACGAATGGGTCTTAACTTTGAAAGAGTGAAGTAAGTTTCAATCTTCTCTTTCACTTGCAGATGTTACCGTTTTGCTCTTTCTTTTATCATTGTCGAGAATTGGAAAGTATCTTTCAATGTGGATTACTAAATTTGTGATGGATTGTGGACTGCAAGCGCCATGGAATCAGTTTCAAGCATTGCTATAGTGAGCAGTGTTTCCAAATTTTGTCGAGTGGAAACAACATAGAGCTTATTGCTTTGTGTGTCTGAACTTGGCAGGAAGAGCCTCTGTGCTCTGCTAGACAGTCAAGATTAGCATAATATGTGAATCAATTAATTATTTAAAAAAAAATAATATGAACGTTTTAAGAGGATGCGATAGTTAATTAGTAATTAGGGCGAATGGATTGTTCATAGCTGTTATAATTGTGTGAACTATCGTGAGATATTGCATCGGAGGAGTATGTCATAGTTGCCGAACTCGACATAGAATTAGTTATTGGAATTTGCGGTTTTAGAACGTAGAAACACGTCAGGATTTTGTGAATGTTCCTCGGACTCATGTAATTGAATGTTGTTTCCCTTTGCTTGATTGAAACTGTTTAGTTTCCTAGAAGGAAAAAATGTACCAGACTCCGTATGTTGTTATAGTTGGCGATGAATCGCTTTAATTGCAAAATCCTGGCAACAACTGTAGTCTTGTTCTACAAGTTGGCAGTGAAACCACCCAGGATAGATAAAACATCTATTGTCATTGTTTTCTACAGGTACTGGTTATCCGTTGGGGCGCAGCCTTCAGAGCAGTTCCATCGTATTCTTTTCAGAGCTGGCAATGGTGGCAATGGGACTCAAGGGTGGACAACGTGACACACGTCCCATTGATCCAATGACGGGAAGTGTTTTGAATTTGGAGAAGCCAGATGCCGATAACCAAGAAGAAGGTGATGGAGACGAGGCTGTTGATGGGTCGAATTCTGAATGAATATTTTATACCATCCCATAAAACTCGTCACTCTGCAGGTCCTGAGAGTTCGAAACAATTGTGGATCATATCGAATGATTGTAAGTGTTTATTTGAAGAAAATAACATTTGGCTTCGGTGGAAAGCCGGAAACACCGGCATCTCATTTCCAGGTCGTTACGTCAGCGGCCTGGCCCTGCCAAGAAGGTTAGGTCTGCTAAATGTGATTCGGTGACCACTATTTTGGATTCTGAATTTACCTTTAGAACACTACACTATCTTGCTGCATGATATTTGCTGTTTAATCTCTTTTATTAACAGATCATGTTAGGTGATACATTTTGTGTATATCGGGCTAACGAGTCGTTAAGATTGAAACGGAGGTTAGAAGACACCGTCAAAAAACATTTTTAATTATTTTTATTGGGTAAATTATACTACAAATCATTCAATTGTTAACAAGATTACAAATGAGCCACTCTAATTATAAGAAAATTTATAAATAGGTCACATAATTTCAAAAAAGAACCCGATGAGTGACGTAATTAATTGAAAAAGATTAGGAAATAATCAAAATAAAATTCTAACCAAACCCAAATTAAAATTTTAACTCAATACCGAAAAACATAAGAAGCAAAAAAAAATTGACAAAATTGATTAACCAATTGAATTAACTAACAAAATTGTAACTATGTTAATTATTAACGACAATGATGTGGTTTTTTTTGTGGCAAGATAGGAATTATATCACAAGTAAGCATTATTTTTTTTGAATTAATCATTAGTATCCAATCTATTGACCGATTAATCTATATCGGGTATTGCAGAGGCGAGGGCGACCCTTCCAACTCAGTTTGCTCCATTCGCAAATGCCATGATTTGAAATCCTGACCTTACTTAAGGGATATAGTGCCTCATCCACTAAACCAGTTGGTTATTGGTCAAGTAAGCATTATTGAAATACTCATTTTCCAAATATGCGAAGAGGATACACGTTGGACATTTGGTTATGTTATAACAAAAAGAAGTGTGTTTAGTGCAATTTTCTTAGCCATCAATAGATTATTTTGAATTTGTTGAATTTAATAATTCAATTCATGATTCTTTATCATATTAGTTACTAAATTCAGGTTTTTAGCTAATTTTTAATTATTTTAATTATGAAACACTATAAGATTATTTCACGTCTCACAATATTAAAGTTTCACATCATTTAAAAGGCTACAGTTCAGAAACATTGTTAAATTTAGAGACAATATAAACAAAAATTTTGGGATCAACTTAATTTTTTTTCAAATTCAAGGGTCAAAAGTTGTTTTAACACTTACAAACATCTCAATGAAAGAAGGAAAGAAAAAATAGGATAAAATACACTGGAGATCCTAAACTGTGATCAAATATATTTTTTAGATAGTAAACTTTTAAAAATTATAAACTGGTCATTCAATTTTTCAGTATGTTATAAAATATTCATTGTGACATTATAATATTAATATTTGATAAATTAAATGAAAGTTTGTAATAATTCAATAACATTTAATGATACTTTTATATTACTTTGATAAAATATAATGATTATTTTATTAAAAAAATAATAAACTTAATGATCATTTTGTAATAATTTGATATATTTAATGATAAATTTTGAAAGTTGAGTTACCAATCATTTTGATCATAGTTTAGGGATTCTTGATGTACTTTACCCTTAAATCAGTTGCCCAACCGCGGTTTCGGAAATAAAAAATAGAGAAAATAACCTCAGTGACCGAAAATGTCTTATAATATACGATTTTGACCAACTTTTTTTCGATTTGCCAAAATGACCAACAAAATCGCAATGCGATCTATAAATCGCAATGTGATTCTGACTATCGCAACGCGATAATACATAATCGCAACGCGATTATGACTATCGCATTGCGATTTTTCAAATTCGCGTTGCGCTTTTAGAAAATCGCAATGCGAATATGTAAATCGCAATGCGATTCTGACTATCGCAACGCGATTCTGACTATCGCAACGCAATAATACATAATCGCAACGCGATTCTGACTATCGCAACAC